GCAGGAACATCTCTGAAGGCATTGTGGCCCATGGAAAAGACCATGCTGAAACTGGTCCACCTTAAAGCAACTGTGGCTGTGGGTAAATCCATGCCACAGCAGGTAGACCCCTGAACAGTCTGTGGTTCATAGATAAGGCTTCACTTGGAGCAGGTACACTCCTAAAGGACTGCGGTCTGTGGAAAAGTCCAAGCCAGAGTAGGACAAGCAGAAGAGTTAACTGCAATTTTAAACCCCATGGTCTGCTCCAAAGGAACCAGACGTGGAGATTGTAATGGAAACATCTTGAAATTGTTGTAATGTGGAATTTGGCTTGCATGTTATAGGAATTACTACAGCAGGAATCACCCAAACCAGTGGAGGACAAGCCTTACAGGAAGCAGTGCAAGTGCAGCAGTGACCTGACGTGACCTGCCTTTGGTGCCCAATAACTCCACACAGCACACCACATCTCCTGTCCTGACCAAAGTCATGGACTAAATGAACTCAAAGGACAAAATCCTCATTTTGTGGATGTTTGTGGATGCTTGACAAACATTTCACAGAGGTGAGCCGTAGACTAAGGAAATGATACCTGTGTATTATATCAAGGGATGGCAACAGTGGTGGTGGGTAATGAGGATGTATGGGTAGTGTGGGACCTGAGCTTGATGTAAATGGTATGGAATCAGAAATGGAGAATATGCTGGTTTGGGCTGGGAGAGAGCTAGGATTCCTCACAGGAGCTATAGTTTGGTTTTGTGTGGAGAGCAGTGTTGATAACACAGGGATGTGTTTATTACAGCTGAGCAGGGCTGACACAGAGTCAGGGCCCTTTCTGCCTCTCACCCCACCAGTGAGAGGGCTGGGAGAGGACAGCTAGGACAGCTGACCCAAAGGGATATCCCAGACCATATGGCATCATACTCAGCATATAAAGCTGGGGGAAGAAGGAATGTTTGGAATTACGGAGTTTGTATTCCCAAGTCACCATTACATGTGATAGAGCCCTGCTTTAGTGGAGCTGGCTGGACACCTGCCTGCCCATGAAGTGATGAGTGGATTCCCTGTTGTGCTTTGCTTGTGTGCTCGACTTTTGCTTTACCTGTTAAACTGTCTGATATCAACCCCTAAATCTTTCCACTTCTCCAAATCTCTACCCTATCCGAGTCGGGGGGGAGAGTGAGCAAGTGACTGTTGTGGAAGGGAAAAGAAATACTCTTCAATAACATGCCTGGAAACTGTCCAGAGAGCACCCAGACAAAACCTCCCAGCAGCAGGGGGGTAAATACAGTGCCTTAGAGATGCCTCTCCCTAATTCTTAGGGAATAAACCAATGCTTGAGAGGCAGCTTGCTGTGGTTCAGCTGCAGAAAGAATTCCACAAGGCTATTTGGGAATTACCACCCATGATTTTTTGTAGTTACAAATCTCAATACAAAGAATTTTAAGTATTATTTATTCCTTGCAGGGTGAAATAGCAGCTTGCTGGCTGAAGGCATACTTGTTTATTTAATATGTGCCATTTGCAAAAACTCTTGTTAAGCATCCTGAGCACATTAGCAAGAGGTCACATCTTACAGATGATGCATTATTCCCTTCCCTTCCCTTCCCTTCCCTTCCCTTCCCTTCCCTTCCCTTCCCTTCCCTTCCCTTCCCTTCCCTTCCCTTCCCTTCCCTTCCCTTCCCTTCCCTTCCCTTCCCTTCCCTTCCCTTCCCTTCCCTTCCCTTCCCTTCCCTTCCCTTCCCTTCCCTTCCCTTCCCTTCCCTTCCCTTCCCTTCCCTTCCCTTCCCTTCCCTTCCCTTCCCTTCCCTTCCTTCCCTTCCCTTCCCTTCCCTTCCCTTCCCTTCCCTTCCCTTCCCTTCCCTTCCCTCTTTAGGATTGTGTTTTTTAATTTCCTGGTGAATTTTCTGCTGGAGTAAACCTGAAATAAGTTAGAAATTCAAGTAAATCATCCAAATTCCAACCTTTGCTGTTCAATGTTACTTAAGATGTATGAAATTAAATGGAGAATGTTTGCTGGAGGGACATCATGAGAAGTCTGGAGTGAACTTAGGCATTTGAAATGTTTGGGGATATTCTGAAAAACTCCTCTCACTGGGCCAGTTGTTTTCCTGCAATAAGTAAGCAGACTCTTCTGACTGCATTTATTTAGTATGTGCTGAGCTAGGTCAACAAATGGCCTGCTTGAAAATCCCAGGCAAGGAGTTTCCAGCAGACACTGGCAACTGCCCTCCTCAACTGGGATCCAATTCCCAACAGGAGCAAAGCCAAGCTTAACAACAAAGTTAAAAGCCAAACCATGAATAAACTGACTTCCTTACATTGTAAATACATCGGAAAAGGGCAGCAGTTCAAAAGGGAAAATGAGCCAAACTCTGATTATTTTCCTTGAAACTGAATCCCAGGGGGTGATTGTCCATTGAGATGCCCCCAGGAGAGTTCTGCTGTGCTGAGAAGCAAGAGAGTTTGGGTAGGACATGGCCAAGAGGCCTCCAAACTGTTGCACAACAGGAATTTGGGTACAGTGTAACAATTGTCTGAGGAAAGGGAAAACAGTTCCCAAAAACCTTATTCCTGAGCTAAACCAGGTTCTCAGGTCATCTTGAAGCTTAATTTTGATTCCTCAGCTGCGTTGGGTGGGGGTGGTTTTTCAGTGATGTGTATGTGGTAGTACACACTGGATGTGGCTCAAGCCATCATGAGAAAGTAGCTACAGGCAAAAAAGAAAAAAAAAAAAAAAAAAAAAAAGAAAAAAAAAGAAAAAAAAGTCATAACGCTCCAATTTATAGTCTTGTAGTTTGGGTGCACTGAGAGCTCTGTTATAGTTCTCCTTCTCTAGAGCTCTAAAGGCGCTGCAAAATGACAAGAGCTTTTGATCTAGCAAGTGCAAACTCAGGCCAAATCTACCTCAATCTTGGAAGTAACAGAAGGGGAGTGAATAAAATCTTTCAGCCTTTAAAACCAAAGTCAAGAAGAACAAACCTCAGTGGCCTTCAGAATGGAAAGCAAATTAAGTTGTTCATCAGGGAGTACTGGAAGCAATGGAGATGGGCTTATTTATGTATCACTGTTAGCTGCTTTCTAGTCCAACATGCACTCAGGATCTCTAGGATTTGGAAGCTGGGTATCTGTGCTGAGGCTTCAGATTTCTCGCCCCACACCCCCCCAAAAAAAAATCTTGTTAAAAGAATCTACCTGCATTATGCTCTCTGTGGAGGCTGCTGTAAATGGCCAGTCCTCCTTCCATTACTTTTATTACTGAGAACCTCCCCGTTCTGCCTTTGCTCCTGCTTTAATTGAAGCTTTGCTAGCAGATAGCCATCAGAAAAGACATCTGCAATTCAATTAGATCTGTGCTTAAACTCATGATCTCTGTGAAACCGGCCACTGCCAGAACTGAGTGCCCTCCATGGACTTACTTGGGGCTGCAGCCTGCCCTGCTTTGCACATTATCCTCCCTCCCGACCCCTGCCCTGCTCACCCCACTTACAGGTGCTTGAAATGAGGATCCATTCCTCACAGGCTCGTAGGAGCTCATTTCCTCTTCCTTGCATAGCCAGAGAGAAGCTGTAAACTTGGCACCGCTGAGCAGCCATGAAACCTGCTTTATAATGTACTGAAAGTAGTTACTTCTCTATTCTGCAGAATAGAATCTTTCTGCCATGGGAGGTAGGATATTAAGGAGTTCCAAAGGTGCTCCAGGGGTAACTTATTGCATATTTTGCATAGACATGAAAGCATGATGAATTTATAGGAATGTCCATACTAAAAGAAGCTGGGCTTTCTTGCTGACTTAATTCAGACTCTAGTGCTGTAAATAGTGTGTTCCCTGGTGCCAGCTGCTCCAGGGCCACCATTTCTGCTCATTTCTGCTTGCAGTGACCCTATGAGGTGATTGAGGTGAGGACCAAACATCTGGGCAGCCTAGACCACTGAACCCCTGCAAGGAACAGCTCTTTGGAAATATTTCCATGACCCTAGAAGTAAATGTTGGTCTCTAAGTGATGTCAGGCTGGTCCCTGACATGAACTACAACCTTGTTTATAAATTTTCCAGAAGAATGTTACAACGTGCCTCAGTGGTCTTGCTTAAAGCATTTGTAAGAACTGATTTTAAAGGCTTGCAAAATCACAAGTGAAAGAAGCCAGAAAGGCTTTGTAGAAAAGAATAAGTTGATGAAAATCCCAGATTTGAGGAGAAATGAAAAGTGAAGGTGAGCATGAAGAGTGGATTTGGATTGCAGCTCACTGCAAGCTCTCCTGCCTTCAGGGAGAAGTGGCCCGCAGTGGATAGAGGGGAAAACCAAATACTTACCTGGGGTGGGAGAGAATCGAATGGGGATCAGAATAATGCAGCTGAATGTAGCAGATGGGTTGGAGCGCTGTACCTGTCTGTGCCCCTGAGTATAAGGCTTAGTAAAGCCTTGGTGAGAAGCCTGCAGCCGTGGGCTTTCTCCATCTGCCTTTCACAATATTGTTGCTCTTAGTTTATTTGTAATAAATCAAGTGAAATCTTAGAGGGTAAGGAATTAGTCTAGCAGGGGTCTCTTTCTGTTTTAAAGAGTGAGGAGGTTTGGGACTGCTTTTCTTCTGGAGCATCCTCAAAGCCTGCAGTGTTTTATCTTCCTCCTGGACAATCTGGGTTGTCCAGAACAATCTGGGTTTTGGCAGAGCACTTGTAGTGTCTAGAGCCCCCCAGGCCATATGTACTGAGCCTGTTGGATCAGGAGGTGGAAGGCCTGTAACACAGGGGATACAGGAGCTTTCAGCTGGCCACTGCCAACCCACCCTTCCCTTGAGGAGTTCCTCGTGAGGGTTATGCCCCCTGCCACTGGTAAGGCACATAGGACAAGGAGAGGGCTGCACCTCTGCACCCTATAGCCCAGGGGAAAACACTTCCACTTTCCATGGATTTTCTAATTTCATCTCAACATGGCTATTCATAGACAATCTGGAGGTAAAATTAACTTGTGCCACAATTCTCTTTGCATTTCACCACACTGCTTCAGTGGCAAGCACTCCTTTATTTTAAAAAGTTTATTTTTGGGGATGTGACAGTACAGGTATCAGATGTTAGTAATTTAGATAGGAAAATAATCTTGTATCAATGCTAAAAAACTAATGTAAATATTAAACACTCTGTAGAATGCCACAGCAGTTCTGCACACAGTGATGTACATCCCAGGGGGACGGAAGAATCCTTCCAGCAAAGCCTGACAGTTCATGGCTTTTCCAGCTCCTACAAAACCAACCAATCTAGGGAAAGATTGAAATGAAAACATGTGCACCCTTTTGAGATGTTGTATATGAAAATTCTCAGACATTAATTTTCTTTTCAGAAGAAGAGAAAAGAAAATCAAACTTTATTTTTGGTTTAAATTTTCACAAAACTCCATTTCTATATATACTTCAAAGTCTGCCAATGAAGCTAGTTGGCAACATCAGTACAGAGAAAGGATACATCAGCTATCATCTCTGTTAGAAGAAAACCCAGGATAAACCTTCAGTATCGCTAATTTCTGATAATTTTATCATAATGCCAGATAGACTTGATGTTCCCATTAAAATGTGAGTTCCTGAAATAATGCTGCTCCTGTGAGATTTGTACCTTCTATTAAGAATGAGTCAGCTTCTAGCCTTGGTTTTCTGGGTAAAAGAACTGAAAATATCAACGAGCTGTAATACACCAAGCTAGAAATCAGAAAAGAAATAAGAGAAGACAACAATTCCAATCTTTTTTTAAGGTCAAATGACATATTTGGGCTGAAATTTTGGATAGTTTGACAACTCTGAAATCGTGTTGCACCAAACTTGTTCTTGTGCTGTGACAGTGACACAATCTGCCTTTGGTGTCATGATGCCCTTATCCTGCAACAAATTAATTCAGGGTTTGGGGTTAAACAAACACAGGATCAATCTTTCTGTTTCACGAAGTGGGACTGAATTTTTTTCCTTGATGTGTGACAGTTTTGTGATATTTAAGCATATGCTGGATTTTTAACCTTAAATACCATTTATCTCTTTCCCTCCAAAGGAGCATTTTGTATTCAGTATGTTTTATCTGGTGACTCATATTATCTGCAAATAATCAAGCTGAAATCCTAATTGCTTTTGAAGAGGGAATAAAGGATGACATTGTTCTGGATCACCAAAAGCAATTCAATCTGTTCCTCAAGGCAGGAATAAAGGTTGCAGCCTTGTTTACAAAAATGGGGAAGGCCACTCTCTTTGTGCAGATGGATGAGGAGAAACAATGTTCAGATTTGGGTTATAGAATGCTCCAACTCTACTGAGCCTCTTAAAAGTAGCATTTAGTTCAGAGGCAGTGGTGTTCATTCACTCACCCCAAAACAATCTGGAGGTCTTTTATTATAGCTCTGCAACCTGAGCAGTGTTTGGCTCCAACTGCTTTGCAGAAGATTGCTTCCCTGGAGCTCTTGCAGACTGTGCCCAGGCACCAGGGCTCATGTCCTTCAGTGCCTGGGGGCACGGCCACCCTGCAGCCAGCGGTGCTTTCTCAGTGGTCCCAGCAGTAGGGGCAGGTCTGTGGATCCAGAGCTCTCCAGCAACAGGTTTCCTAAAGCTCAGGTTGTGTTTTGAAGGGTCAAGAGAAAGCACTGATTTTCTGTTTTCCAGAAACTGCTAAGTTAATGAGACTGAAAAATAGCAACAGCCATTTCCAGCAAAAATAACCAGCAGCAGTAATGGTCTCATCTCCAGTCTACTACATGTTGTCCTTTCAGAACTTCATCAGGAGCACACCAAAGGACACGAGAGTTGTTTAAAAACTGGAATCATAGAATAATGGCATTGTTTCTGGTTGGTTTGCGGTGCCCTGCCCAAACCTCTAGCCTCCCAGGCTCTGGATTTAAGGGCCTGGAGGAGAAGCCATATGAAGAGCAGCTGAAGTCTTTTGGTCTGTTTTGCCTGGAGGAGACGGAGGGGAGACCTTGCAGTTTCCAAGTTTCTCATGAGGAGAAAAGCAGAGGCAGGCGCTGATCTCTTCCTTGTGGTAACCAGTGACAGGATCTGAGGGGATAGCCTGAAGTTGTGTCAGAGGCGGTTCAGGTTGGATATTAGGAAATGCTTCTTCATGGTTGGACACTGGAACAGCTCCCCAATGAAATGGTCACAGCACCAGCCTGACAGAGACCACGAAGCATTTCCACAATGCTCACACACGCATGGTGTGGTTCTTGGGGATGGTGCTGTGCAGGCTCAGGAGCTGGACTCGATGATCCCTGGGGGTCCCTTCCAACTCAGTATATTCTGTGATTCTGTGAATAATGATTTATTGCACATTAAAATACTTACTGCTGGGTTGAAATGACAAATGTACACAATCCTATGTCTTTTGGTTTTGAACAACTTGCTTTTAAAAGATGAGAGGCTGACCTAAGGCTTAATTGTTTCTTGAGCAGTCTTTGTTCCACTGATGCTGGAAAGTCATTTTCCAGGCTGTGACACCTGCTGACCTGAAGCATCAGGGGATGAAAGCAGACCCAAACATGAAGTGACCTGTGCTTGGTGCCTGTTTGTGGTGCACATACTGACACAGAACCCCGGTGTGCAGGCCTGGGCTGTGCTCAGAGATGCTCCGTGTGTTGACGCCACATCAATGTGTGGTTGTGTTGGACAAACAACTCACTTTGCCCCCAGACTGCTGCTGCCTTGGGTCTCTGCCTGACCTTGGGTGGTGTGATACGAGTCCTTCAGACTGGTTCAAATGCATGCTTGAAATGCAGTTATTTGGGAAGCCAAGGACTTTCTCCTAGCAGGGTTGGGTGCTGTGCCTCTGATGGCACATGCCTGGAATGGGAGGTGATGACCTGCACCGCCAGCACAGCAAATGCCATTGCTGCTGTGGGTAACGATACAAGATAATGCTTGGGCAAACCTGAGACTTGTTATCTTCTGCTCTGGGATTCACCACACGATTGCAGGGACAAAGTAGCATAGATGTAGAATGACTGAACCTTTAAGGGACCTGCGGAGGTCATGTGCTCCAACTTCTCACTCAGAGCAGGGCTAATTTTGGCATGAGGGCAGATGACTCAGGACTGTGTCCACCTGAGTTTTGGAAACCTCCAAGGACAAAAAATCCACAGCCCTTCTGGGGAACCTCTTCCAATGTTGTTTGGGTTTTTTTCCTAATACCCAATCAGACTTTTCTTTGATGAAACTTTTGTCTTGGCCCCATGAGGTTTCTCACCTCATTTGGGGTAAAATAATTTGCAAGTTACAGATGAGGAGGCATGCCCATCTTTTCCCACTTGTGAGACCTTGTGCATGATGCTTCCCTTCTACTATCAGTTGCAGACTCCAGCTGCTGTGTCCATCAGAGATAACCAGCCCTTCCTCAGCTGTGACTGTCCACATGGAAAGCTGGAACAGCTTCTGCTGACAAAGCAGGAGAAAACCTGCTTTTAGGGAGAGGAAGAGAGGAAGAGAGGCTGGCTGACTTTACCTGCTCCACCTGCAGCTCCCGTGTTCAGGGGCTGCACATTCACACCCAGCCTGCCTGTGGTGTCCATGTGTTTGGCATACACGACTATGGAAGAATTCATCTTCTCTTCAGAATGCAAATTAAGATAGAAATTACAATATGCATACAATATAAAATTTTGTTTGTTTGTTTCTTTTTCCACAGCATGTAGCTGCAGTATTTGTTATTGGAAAGCCATGGGCTCTCTGTGGAGTCATCCTGCATCCCAGGATAAAAGGCCTACATTTATGGGGCATTTGAGAAATATGTATGAAATAATCCTCAAGCAATCAACTTATTTAGGAAATGACAAAAGAGCTAGCAGGTGATTCCTTTTTTCTCTGAAAGGGACAATAACATTTAGTCTATAAAAAGGTTTTTAAAAAAGCTTTTTTGAGTTGAATCCATCAGAATTTTTTCAATGAAGTGTTTTTGACAGAAGATACTGATCAAAATTAAAATTACTCCAAAATAGCTAATTATGCTACAAAAAGGTCATAAAACTGTAGAGGAAAAATAGACTAGGAATACTTTCAATTCATAAGTTGCTCATTTTAAAAAATGTGGAATTTCACAATGATATCTTTAAAGTTATATGTTCTGTAGGGTTTTTTAACATCATGGCTGACATGTCATGAAATCATCACAGCGTATAATAACATCTTATCATTTCTAGCTCAGAGTGTTGCCTGTTTGTTGTAGTGAAACAGTTTGGCACCTGATCAAAGTGTCTCCTGCCTGTCTTGTAAAAAAAATAATGTCAAACTTCCATTACAACACAGACAGGAGACACTTTGATCTAGAAAAGAAAGTATGTTAGTGTTTACTAAGTGGCAGATGGTTTTAATAGTTTTAAAATGAAACAGAATAAAAAAATAATAAGGTTTTCCTATATAATATGCAGGACAAACAAAATGCCATGAAATCATATGAAAAAAACCCTGAACCAGAGATAAAAACCAGGAAAGAGCATTTCTTAAGAGAAAATGACCTTTTTTTGGTAAGGGTCTTTTCCTTTGTCTTTGCTTTTGACCAGGCTGGATTTGCCAGGCACTGAGTCTGCCCTGCACTCTGCTGCTGGGATGTGGGCATGAAGCTGGCAGGACTGTGAGGCTGGAAGTGCCTGACTTGTTTAAAAAGAGAGATGAGGTTGACCCATGTGACAAGGATGACTCCTGCGTTGTTGCCATTGGCTCGTTTAATGTCCAAGGAAAATTCCAGATCAGCAAATATGCCTATTCTTGGCAAATATATTAAACAAAAATAAAACCCCAAAGAGCTGCCCAATCTGGAGCATAAACTTGAGACAGTTATCTGTGGTACTTGTGGATCTGTTCCAGGAAACAGCGTGCTGAGCTCCACGTCTGACTCCAGCTATTTGGGAATGGAGTGCACCAGCATCACACCATATGTGTAAGCATATAACAATAACTACTGTTGTTATTATTATTATTGTTATTGTTGTTAGTCCTCCAGTATCAAACAGAATCATATGCTAGTGTGCACACACTGAACAGCACCCATAAATAAATAAATATACAAAATGCTTCCTGGTGAGAGCAGAGGGAAATCAGACCAGCTTCAGACTGGCTTACCAATATGGTTTAAATCGGAACAAAGCAAAAATGTCCTTTTCTGTTGCAGGTCCTTGCAGTTAGGTATGTTGGTAGAAGCCCGGCGAGGGTTCCTATTCCCCTCTGATAACTCACCCTGCCCTGCTTTAACTGTGATCCGTAATTAACAGTGAAACCTTCACTGCTGATTGTAGGATCATTTAGGTTGGTCGAGGTCATCTAGTCCAAGCATAGAGCAACAGCTGAGCTTGCAGCTGCCAGCAGCATGGCTGGCTGGTGGTGGGACACCCCACTGGTGTCCTACCACAGGCTTCCAGCTGCACAGGCATCTGCCAAATGGAAGAGCAGCTGACTGCTGGCCTTCCTGCATCAGGCTGTGGCAAGTCCTCAGAAGACATGAGATGGCCAGAGATGTGTTTGGTTTTGTGCCACCAAAACTGGGGGTGACCAAGCCCGAGGCACAGCTGTGCTGTCAGGAGAGGCAGCTGTGGCATGGAGTGGTTCGACTTCTGACTGTCCCTGAGGGCCTGCCTGAGTCTGAAGTCCTCCTGTGTGCTAAGAAGCTGGGCATCTACCTGCCTTACCTGTCTGCAGGATGGAGCCAGCACAGCTTGCATTGTGTCCTGAAAACTTTTCACTGTGAGATTCCTTACATATGGCTCTGGGTGCAAGCAGCTTTCCACTATGGTATTCATACCAGACCTCCGCATGCCTGTGGAAAGTAAGGCCATGGCACACGAAGAGTTACTGCAGAAGGAAGCACAGGAAAGAGGAAAGACAGATTTCAAGCCTCGAGTCAGCCAGAAAGCTGAAATTGTAGGAAGCCGCACTGAAAAGATGAAAAAAATAAAGAAAAGGGAGATTTGAATGGATCCAAGCCTGCTGAGCTGTATAAAGGAGAAAAACAGTACAGGCATGAAACTCTTCCAGCTGCTTTCCACAGACCAGGCACAGCAAATTTGTCACAGGAAGTAAAGCAGAGAAAGGGAGTGCAATGGGTCAAGGCAAAGAGGGCTCATGGAGGGAAGGGATGCTTTCTGCCTCTGGCAAGGCCAGAGCACTGAGTTCACCTCTGCATGTGGGCCTGTGACCAGCGCCGGGTTTTGGGTGCCCTTGGAGAGGCACAGCAGGGATGTGCATGGGGCTAGCCGGGAAAATGTCCCCTGGGACTGGCAAAAGCAATTGTGTCAGCTCTGTCCCCCGGCAGTCAGGGGGAAATAAGGAGAAGAGCGAGCACTGGCTGCTTCCTTCATGCAACAGGTGAATCAGGGGGAACACACAAGGAAAAAAAAAAAAAAAAAAAAAAAAAAAAAAAGGAGAGAGATAAGAGAAGCTGCTCAGTGTAGGAGATGAAGTAGTTATGGAGGAGATGCCTTTCAGGTGTGATATGGTGTGTCAAGAGTGTCCACGGTGGAAGGTTACCCCTCATGCCTGGTGGGAAGGCAATACCATCACGTCCTGCAGTCAAGCAGCCCTGCCAGAGACTGAAATGTTAATGGTTAATGACTCAAAACAATGGCCCATTTGTGGAAGCGGCAGGGTGCTTTGCACCCCCCGAGGGGGAGGAGGTGAGGTTTTGGGTGCGTGATGGCAAACCTCTGGTCTGCATAAGAAGGGGGTCTGAACAATCACCACTGGAGGCCTCAAACGGCTTTGAGGCTGATAAGAGGCAGATTCTGTGTGGTGGGATGGTGCTTTTCATCATGCCAATTGTCCTCCCTTACATAAGTCACTCTGTTGTAAAACTCCCCCCACACCTCCACCTGGGAAAGGTCCTGAGGGTTTTCATCCCTCCTGAAGGGGCATTCCTGGCTCAACTGCGCTGACGTGAGAGGCAGCTGTCATGTCTTAGAAGGTGTCACAAACCATCAAAGACCCCCAAAGTGCCCCCAGACTCATTTCTGAGGCTTCCCACCAGAAGACTGAAAGCTCACCCCCAGGGGAGGTGCTGGGGGCTCCCACTGAACCTAATTTTATTGGAACCCATCGAACTTCGTGTTTTAAGGCCTTTTCCCCCCACCCTCAACAGATCAAGATTGTGATCACCGTTTAACCCAGGGACACTAAATTGCAACAATCAAGTCTTGCTGTGAGATCCATATGTGGTGACATGTTTCTACTCTTACCTTTTCTTCCTGTTTCTTTCTTTTCCTTTACACATTTTCTTAAGTGAAGGATATTTTTATACTTCATATTGACATATTACTGTAGATAACAGTAAGCAAAACGTTACATGCCTGCTTTCCATTGCAACCAAATTGTTCTAAAATAAATCCTATATCTATCTATATCTATATCTATATCTATATCTATATCTATATCTATATCTAATCTTTACAAACACTGATCATCCACTGTCCTTTCACTTTAATCCACCCCAAGGGAGCTGTTAACAAGAACCTGGGTTGCCCCCACCTTTTTGGGGCTGGGTGTAACAAACCTGCTGGATGGGATCCAGCCTGTAAACCCAGCTCCAGGGGGATGGGATGGGGAAGACGAAGTTAAGTGACATGCTATGGTGTTGTGGAGGGAGAAAAGCACGGGGAAGAGAACTGACAGCTGGTCCCACAGGAAAAGAAAGTTACAATAAAGTTGGAGAGGAATATTTTACAAGGATATGTAGTAATAGGACGAGGGGTGAAGGCTTTAAACTGAAAGAGGGTGGGTTTATTTTAGGTATTAGGAAAAAATTATTTTCTTTGAGGATGGTAAGGCACTGGCACAGGTTACTCAGCGAAGCTGTGGATGTCCCATCCCTGAAAGTGTTCAAGGCCAGGTTGGATGGGGCTCTGAGCAACCTGATCTACTGAAAGGTGTCCATGCCCATGGCAGGGAGGTTGGAATGAGGTGATCTTTAAAAGCCCCTTCCAACCCAAACCACACTATCATTCTATGGAAAAGGGTTTATGGGTAGAAGCCACGAGGTTAATGAATCTAGCAGCCAACCTGAGATGCAGTGTGTGGTTTTCACCTTTGGTATTTAGAAAAGGCCTATAAGAACCTGCTCTAATCCATAAAAGATACGGGCCTGTGCATATAACCTCTGGGTTCAGTTAGGGTCCTCCCTGGGAAGGTTCAGGTTAGACTTTGAGATAAGGGCTGAGCAGTGAGAAGTCACCCACTGGGGTGAAGCTTCCTGGACTTACATGGAGCTTGGCAAGTGATTCAGAAATGGCTTCTGCCAGCAGGAAATGTTTGCCTAAACACAGCTCCCCAGGCCATCTTATTAAAGCTGGAGTCTCTGAGAGACAGCACGAAACCTATGTCATTATCAGTGCAGTCTTTTCAAGATGGGTCTCCAGATAATGGCACGAAATCTGTCTCTCAGGCAAAATTTCCATGTGATTTGCTGGAGGCTGTGCACAAAAAAATGAACGTTCCTCAGAGTTCAATACTACAAATATTTTTGCTCAGAAATCAATCTGTTGATTGAGGGGGTCATTTCATGCTAGAAAAAATGTGTTGTCTCTGAAATCCAGCCATGAACTTATGGAGAGGAGGCTGCCTAGTCAGATGTGTGCTGTTGACTCAGTCTCTGCCAGAACAACCTTGAGCTCCTGTGCTCACTGCTTCCTCCACTGCCTCCTCCTCCTCCTTGGCGTCCCAGTGCTCCAGGTGCTCTGGGGCAAGACTTTGTTTTCCTACAGAGCTGGTTCAGTGTGATGAACATGTGGAAAGAGAGCACAAGAAGCAGCTTTGTGATCTCTGCCCAAGGATCCTTGAAATGACTGGGCACCTCGTTGAGACATGGAGCAATAGTTTGGAGATAATGATAATTTAAGACATAACTCTAAGAAGCTGTTTTTAATGTTTTCTTAAATAATTTCCCTCTTGGCTAAAGGTCACAGGATAAAAAAGACACAGCAGTCCAAGTATGGCTGTTCTTAAGCACAAATCCCAGCTTGGCCAGACTTTGCTGAACACTTGCAAGGAGGTAGCCTTACACAGTGATTTGTACCAGCACACTTGTGTAGAAACATTATGTTGGGATACATCCAGCTTGATCACTGGAACACGTAAAACATGCCTTTGAAAGCAAGTCAAGGTTTGTGGAAGCTTGAGTGGGTTGGAAAGGCCTCTAGGTACCAGCAGAGCACAGCACAGCTCAGGGACCAGATGTTCCAGTCCCCCGTACCCCACATCCCTCTCTGAAAAGGTGGTCCAGTTCATCCCCGTTAGAAGTCTCTAATGAGCTTGTAACCTAAAACTATAAATACAGGAGCAGATTTTGTCACTGGGGCTCACCCAAAAGTCTTCCCTTGAGAGTGAGTACAACTATGCCAGATGGCAGCAGCGGCAGTCACTGCCTTCCCAACACCAGATAACAACCTTCAGCAGAACAGCCCACCAAACCCCCTGCATGGCTGCCCAGGATCCCAAGTACCGAGCAAATCCCCACCAGCCAGTCCAGACATGCTTTCTGTCAAGACTTAGTAGCCATTAAATATTGAACGTTGGAAGTTTGGGGAGGAAAGGTAGCAAATAAAATTTTATTGCTATTTCCAGAGCTGTTTCCTAAGGTACAAACACGAGTTTCTGGGGGAACCATGCCAGGCTGGTGACTGCTTTCCAATTTCCTGCTTTCCATTGCTGCCCACCCTTTGGAAGTGTGTTCCTACCTGGTCTGCAGAAAAAAAAAGCCAAACAGAGCCAGCAGCTGGATCCTACAGGGGACTTCTCCTGTGGCTTCAAAAATATGGGTGGGGAGAGGGGAAAAAGAAGTTTTCGGTTGTTACTGCTTTGCTCTTTTGCTCTGCTAGCTCATGTAAAAACAGATGCAGAAAGACAAGATAAGGAACTCTGTGGTTTCATCTTGTAACCTCAAACAGCAAACACTCCTCAAAAACAGTTTACTACGTGGTCACATTGCTTCGAAGAAAGGATAGGAAGCCCAACTGAAAAAAAACACAATATAGTAATTGAAAAATAATATTTAGTCACAGAAGAGCTATAAATAAAATATAAGATGCCCTGAGATTTGAAAGCCTCAACAACTCAATAGCATCTCTTGCTCAGGAGGTTTCTTCTTCTTTTTCTCTTGTAGAGATGCTTCAGTTGCTATTGATACAGGCACCTCCTCCCAAAAACTGGCTAAATGGTTTACCCACCCCCCACAAGTCCCATTAAAATAGATGCTTTTCAGCATGTGCCAGGAATAGCCTTATGTGAAATGTGCTAAGATGTTGCAACTCCTATTGGGTTTATTTTGAGTGAATAAGATGAAGCAGCATAAGGCAGGACTCTGAGGCCGGGGACAAACGTGCAAAGGAGAAGTTCATTAATTTATAGTAATTTTGAACTGTTTGGTTTCGTTTTCATGTGTACTGCTAGCATGGCACTACAGAACAGGTTGAAGATTTAAAAGAATAAAAAAAAAAAACAAACAACCAAACAAAAAACATTAAATACCAATATGCTAACTATAGCACTTGCAGCTTCACAGAAAAAAACAGATGTTCTCTAAATGCAGATGTTGCCAGTACTGAAATAACAGCTGGCATATACTGATAATTACTAATTGGACTTGTTCAGCGGGTAGAGCTTAGCAGCGGCAGAGTAAAGGCAGAGTAACAGACTGACTCCCCAGCTCCAGAGAGTGTCTGAATTTTTGCTTTGGCTTCCCTTTCTTCCTTTTCCTTGCCATTTTTAATTTCAGCCTTCCAACAGCCTCTGTTTTCTCTCCCCCCGCCCTGGGTACCCTCCCCACGGACGCAGGTCCTGGGGCAGGTCCTTGCTGGCAGCTGCCAAAGCCACCCTGTCCCCAAGGCAGCTGCTGAGCAGGGAGGAGGTTCAGAGCAATCAACCCGAGGGGTGTCACCCACACTGGTCCCCCTCCTACCAAGGGCAACAACATGTCTGCTTGATGCCAAGCATTGAAATTGAGCTTCAAACACAATCTTGCTGCAGGTAGTGCAAAGTCCCACTAACCAGCACAAGGCAACTCAGCAGGAACATCATCCTTACCCCAAGGGGTGAGACCTGGAGCTGCGTGGGGCTGTGGGCAGAGGAGACACAGGGGCAGCAGTGGAGAATCCCAGGCTCTTTATGCTGTGAGTGATAGCTCCTGCTGTTAGTCGTGGGCACTTTGAGCTAAAATGCTGCCTCACACATCAGCAAGCGGCAGAAGTGAAAAACAGACTGACTTGATTTAAAGTAAACATGAGAAAAACAAATCCACCCAAACCCCCACACTGTGTTATCAGAAAGCTACCAGGCTGTAGGAATGCTGTGGGTTGAAGTAGCTTGTAATAGTTGATTTTGAGTTGCATTTTTTTGTAAGAAAAGCAAATCAACAAGTTTTTCCTAAGGACTGGAAAATGCCAAGAGCTGTAATATACTTCTTTTAAAATTTGTCTTCAGAGATGTGAGGACAATTCAATGGGAAAGTTGGATTGTGGCCAAACATATCTGGGGAAGAGTCCCACTTACCATGGTGTGGTGGGTCATTCTGCCTGGCCACACAAAAATTCTGGCGGTGGGTCTCCCTCCACCCCCTTGTGACACCAGAAAATCTCCTTTCCTCCCTTCCTGGAGAAAACTTCACCACTGGGATGGAGGGAAGGGAAGGAGTACATCTGTGCACTTTCCACCTATCTCCGCTTCTTGGTAGGAAGAACTGTAAATGAGTTTTGAGTCAAGGCAGGCTAGGCTGGAATTAAAAGCCCTCCTTCTTAGCCAGCTTTTGGCTATTGCCACTTTGGCCCCAAGTGCTGGTGAGCCTCAGTGGCTGGATGGGCTCTCAGCCCATGGAGCAGGGCCAGAGCCTGAGCCTGGGCACAACTGCCCGGGCCACAGGGGAGGGTTTGGATCGCTCCCCTGAGCCATCTGTGTACGGATACAGACCTACACATTCACACGGGTTTGTTTTTTTTGCAGGGTGTGGCTTGACACTTCCTCTCTGGTTTCACTGGGTCAGAGATACACTTTGCAATGGACAGGCAGGAGGTTTTCCTCCCTTTTCAAGAGGAAGTCCGGGAAAAAGAAGCCCTGCCTTCCCCAGGCCCCCGGGAAGCACACGTGAGTGACCCCCAGAGAGCCCCCCTAATGCCCCCCACCACCCCCCACACCGCCTCAGCATCGCCTTACCAGGGCTGGGTTATCTTTCCTCCCTGGTGGGTGGGGGTTTCACTCTACTTCACACTTGCCTTCCAGATCTAGCCATCATTGCTTTCTTATTTCATATATATTAATTAATTGTAAGTACGTATTCACAAATAATTACAGATATATGTGTTATCTCTGTGTTTTGGGTATAATTGTCTCACTTCCACCTTCCCTATGGAGGACTGGTGTTTGTTCCTCTGGCCCTCCAAGAGTGCACATCCCCCTAAGTCCCCTTGCCCACAACAGGCTGTGGCACTGGAGCACTTGGCGGGGGTTGGCATGGGAGGTGAGGACACTTGTCTAAAGAAGCCTTGTGGGTCCCTTCAATCCCCAGTGTGTCCCCACCCTGTGGCCCCCATTCTTCCTGCCATTGGTGTCACGCCATGCCTGGCCCCCAAACCCCTACGTCTCCACCATGTTTCCACATGCTCTCCCATGTGCCCCCATCTTTGATTACTTCTCCACGTGTCCTGCTGTGTTTCCACACCTGTCCTTCCATGTTTTCCTGCATGTCCTGCCACGCTCCCCTCTGCCCCACCACATGCCCATGGGTCTCCTGTGCCCCCACATGCACCTCCCCTGGGAACCTGTCCCTTTGCAACCTCTTAAGTGTCTCTGTGTGCCATGCATGCTTCCCACATCCTTCACTCATCCCACCAAACCCCCTGCATGTCCCCAGTGGTCCCCAATGCTTGTCCCACTATGGCTCCATGCCTGTTCCTTGCACCCTCCTTGTGTGTGCCTCACCAGCTCTCCCAGCTGGCCCATTCCTTACTGTCCCTGGCAGTAGAGTCTGCTGACATCTTGGTACAATGAGCTACCAAACACTGAGGTGTCAGTTTCTGATTTTGGGAGAAGCAGCATGGTTGCCATCTAAGATGAAAGCAAAAACCCCTTTCCTCTTGTGACAAGCACTACTTGTTTCAAGCCTATGTGAGCACAATCTTGAGTGTTTTGGTGTAAATTGCCTGCTTGTGACACACAAACCAGTTCCTGAAAGAGTGCAGTGGGCTCACTGGCTGCTTTGGTCTGGGGCTGTCTCAGCTTTCCGGATATAGCACGTCTCCAGGAATTATTTCAAGCTGTAGCAAGAAAACACATGGCAAACTGTCCAGCTGCTTGCAGTAGCTCTGCAACAAGATCTGTATTGTGAAAGTATGACAAAAAATGGCAGGAGAGAGAGGGTGCCCCATGGCATAGCTCCATGGCCAGGTGACTTCTACTGTAACTAATGTAGATTGTTATTGACAACTGAAAAGCAATAAACCTCTTGCTACATGCCTTTTAGGCCAAATTTTGGCTGGCAAGCAAGGAATGTGATGGACCTTCCCAAGGCTGGTATTCTGGTGTTTGCTTTGGATATTGACATTTTATATGCCATTGTTAAGGGCTGGGAAAAAAAGCCAGTTATTGATTGGGACACAGCTCTTTGTGGAAAGGCATAGGGGCCTCCTTTTCATATTATTTTCACGCCTTCTCATTTACTGGGTGTGGAGAGAGAAAAGCTGTGTCCGTGACACTGTGTGATGCACAGACCTCCCACCCTGGATGCGCACTGAGGTGACAGCGTGGCTGATGGAGAAGGCCAGCTTGGGTGGGTTAGACTGATTTCACATCCAGCCCAGCATCCATCTCCAGATGTGACCAGATGTTTTGGGAGGAGGGAGGACAGGGTTTGTAATGATTCTCTTGCCAGGCTCTGAGATCTTCGTTCACTTCCTGCAGGTTCCTAGTGTTTGACCTGCTTTATTGACTGCTGCCGAGCGCTGAGCTCATGCTTTGGTGGACACTAAACACAGGAACCGGCTCTGGACCAGCAGTGGTCTGTGCAGAGCCCATATGAGTCCAGGACTCTTTTTTCCCCCTCAAAATATCTAGTTTTGCAGTTGTATGTGTTGAATTTGATCTGCCCTTTGACCTCTCACTGTCTGCAGTTCTCACAGCCTGTCCTTGTCCTCAGACAGCTCCTTATCAGTTGCCAGCTCTCCCCTCCCTCCTCACCCCTTTTCCAGGCCGTTTACGAAGGACTGAGCAGCCGAGGTCACTGCACAGACCCAGACCCCGATGGAAGGTCGCTGCTATCACGCTGCCTTATGAGAACTGGCTGTCTTCTCCTGACCTCTGTTTCCTGTTTTTCAGCCCCTTATTTGTAGATAGCAGGACCCATTTCTTATGCCTGAGTGGCTGCATTTCCTGAGGAGCTTTCCCTGCAGCCTCATTTAATCCTGAGCAGCTTCCTGGGCTAATGGAGCTGTTGTGCCCACAGGAGTGGTGCGCTGGTCCCAGCTTGCCTGAGCCTTGGCATGGTGGTATATGTGCCAGCAGTTCCAGAGCCACCCTGCTGCCTTGGTGTCTTTGGAAGAAATGTGCATGTTTTGGGCCAGCCCTGCACTCACTGCAGGGCAAGAACTCCAGACACTCCAAGGGGCTGATCTCTGCCCATTATCCAGGGCAGATGCTGTCATCTGGGGGTCCTGCAGCCAGCAGCTCAGGGCTGAGCAGCAACCAGCAACAGCCTCAGCTCAGCAGAAGTCTGTAAGAACATATGGCTAATTTGGTGTACGCACACATGCTACCAGGAGCAATGTGGTTTCTGAACAAGCCCAGGTGATTTTGCAGCTGGGACGGGGGTCAGGGCACATGTTTTTCACACTGCTGTTTATCTCACATGTGGTGAGTCAGTCTAAGACCTTTGTTAACTCTGCTGTCTCCATTTCTCGTTGTTGCCATCAAGCACTCAAGGTTTATCACCAGCACTGGGATGTCCTTCCCCAGCAGTACTTGAGGAGTCTGTGCAGTAGCTGCAGCACACCAGGGTAGAACATGCTGGAGAGGCACAGCTTGTTTCTCTTCCCACAGCTCCAGATGACAAAAATAACACAAAATGGTGACAATTCTCCTATTGTTTTATTCCATGACAATTTTCTTCTCCCTCCTTTCTCTGCCCCACTGAAGGATGTTTTGGCAGTTTGCAAACATCCCCCTGTTCACATTCACTGAATGTTACTACAGCCATTTCTTTCATGTGACAGCTTGAAAAAGGGATGTGAAAGCTTTCCTTCTTGTCTTCCTGGCCTTTCCCTCTATCATCTGACCCTCATGAATGCTCTCCAGCAAACAGTTTGCCTTTCGTGCATGGTAGAATCTGGAAATAATTGCCTGCCACAGCACTTACTTCTGTCAGTGAATAAGCTTGTGTAATTGTGCCATGGTCTTTGCTCCACAGTTCATTTTCTTAGCTCAGAAATGTGATTTTATTTTTTTTTAACCATTGCATATAGTTTCTTTATTCCCACAATTCATTGTTGCCAATAAAGTAGGAAAATAAGGGATAATCGCCACTTAAATGGTTTAAAACCAATGCCATGTGTGGGGAAAAAACCCCAACCAAACAAGGAAAATGTCCTACTATCCTCAAAGGAATGTGCATCAAATGTGCTGTAGCCAAAGCACTGGCTTTTTCTGATGGGTCATATAAAAATTCAAGGTCCTGATAATCTGACAAGCCACAGTTTGAGTCTTTGAATCCCAACCACAGCTCAAAAGTTGGCTGACTTTTATCAGAAGCTCTGTAGTTCTGGTTGTTGCTAATAATTTGTTTGTAATTGGTATAGCAAGCTCTAGGAGCAGCAAATGTCATAATCCCGTGTCACTGTATAGCTCCAAGGAGATTGCTGATAAATAACAATCATATACACACACATAATGGATACAGGCAGCAGCCAAACAGGAAAATAATTGCTGTCTTGGTGGAGCTTATTAACTTAAATCAGGAAGAAAGAGATTTTATGAATGGATGTCACCTCTGTAATTTCCTGGGGGAAAACAAAAGGCCAGTATACAGCTTTCAAAAGATGTGCCCTGAGAGATGTGCTTCATGTGACCAGGGAGGAGCTACAGATATATGTGGGTTTTTTGTTTGTTTGTTTGTTGTTTTGTTTTATTGAGTGTTTGTTTGTTTGATTGTTTTTTGATGGTGTCTATGATTTGCCCCAGGACTGGCCACAGAGTCTAAACTGGCCCTGTTTGATCTGATTGTCACTGTGACCCAGCCCCCACGACAGCATGTTTCCTCACCTAACATTGGTCCTGCACTCAACCCTCTGAAGTGACTCAAATCCACCTGACCTGGAAGTCCTCCCTAAATCTGAGTGATATTTCAGTGTCTTGGGATGGGTCCCCCCATTTTCAAAGCCCAGGAGTGTCTGTTCTGCATGCCCTGGTGCAGCTGCCTGACTTTTACACCTCTGAGCAGGACAACTTCAGGTTTTGCTACAATTTAAGGATGTCCACAATACAATTCTCTATCTCCACTGTTAGCCAAAAGCCCAGCTGCTTGGCTGCCCATCCATGTCTGTCTATATAGGAACATATATATTCCAACAGGAAATTCCGGACAACCTTTGGCCAGATCCAACTACACGTCCAAGCTGCTTTTTGCCATTTCATTTATGCAAAGTAGTGGGAAACACAAGTAAAGTAGCTACTTGTTCAACACATTTATATTTTACAGCTTGGGATTGATCTAAAGCAGCAGCATAGCATACCCATCCTGAATACATACATTTTAAGACATGTAGGGGAAATCTTGGTTACAGGAAAAATTATGAGTGTTTGTATTCATTACCCTGTGTGTCCTGTCTGAGATTCACTATCAAGCCAACATCTTCAGGTTCATCTGTACAGATGAACCTCACAGCTGAAGTTCATCGAGCTGACAACTTCCAAGGAGGAGTCCCCACAATGAGGATTTTACGTCTCTGTTGGCTGATATTAGTGTGAAGTCAGAGGAGTAATCCTCAGAATGTATTGGTTTAATTAAAATTAGTCTTATCCTCAGTCAGTGGAAATTATCAAAGAGGGAAATGTTAGGGAATTCTCTGCTGCTGAACTGTGGAGAAATGTATACAGAAATAGGATTCCCAGGTCTCTCCCTCAGTTAATGAGGTGCATGGCATGGGCTGGGTCCCCTTGGTGCAAATGTGGGATAATCAATGCAGTCTGGAATTGCACTCTCGGGAGAACCAGTCCATCACGCTCCTGCACTGCAGCTCAAGTCTTCTTCTATTCTGAGTTAATAATAAACACAGCCCACCTCAATGATATACGTGACACATTTATTACCATGTCCTTTAGAAGCAATTTCCTTTCTGTTCTGTTTTCTCACAGACAGTGTAATTACCAAGTTAAAGAGAACAGAGAAAAAAAAGTTTCCAGACTTGATCTTTCCCAGATGAAATGACAAAATTACTGAAGCAATGTATACTCTTCAGTTCTGTAAGGAGA